AGATATTGAGGTGAATGTGAAGATGCTCCACATTCTCCCCAGGAAGAGCTAAGAAGAATAAGTTCCATCAGACTGAAAAGAGAGATTCCCTTGAAAAATACCGAAGAGGGGAGATCTAAGTGAGTGTTATAACTACATAGCAATCGAATTGCCGTCAGTACCAAGCAGAGTTTTCAATGGAATTTTGCTGAACCGAATGTAAGGTTCAGTAGACGCCCACTACAATCACCTGTAGAACTATGGTCTAGTATGATATTAGTACTGCTCTAATAATAGGCCTAATCCTAAATTTGTAGATTCGTCATGATATAACTGCCTAATCTATAAGATCTTACGTGGAAGTCACACCATCGACTACACCAACTCACTGTATCGTATCAATTACCAATACATGATGTAGAACAAGGTTAGGCTAGAGAAAGAACAATATATTTAATATGAATAGAAGATATAAGGTAACATTCGGCAGACCACGCCTGCATGGCCGAGCCATGCCACTCGATCAACTCCAGACCATTTTATTTAATCTTCGCGCCTTCTCCATCGTTAGGTATTTATCCGCGTTAAATATTGAATATCTATTTTCTGAGTAGTCTCGTGTTCAGCTTTGTGGATTGTGCGGTTATTGTTCAATGCCACTACACACCATCAGAAAAGCACATTTATGAAGAGCTATCTACTCAAGATACTCCAGCTCCGTTGGACATTGACCGTCACCAACAACCCACTCTGACAGCAAATGAACAAGCTTCTATTTGAGAAGGATGTTAGGAAAAATCACTGGGGGTGTATAGAACACACTTTATAGAAAATTGGGAAATAGACTAAAGGGCATGAACTGATTTCAGGCAGTTATACAATTTGGTAACTCAAACGTACATACCCTGGACAGTCTCAAATAAGAAGAAACACAGCCATCCCTGTGTAGGCTAGAATATTCGATGATTACTAAGACAAAAGAAGAATTGTCGGAATATCGCCAACAGGGTTGGCACAGCAGGTACCACGGAACGCTACAGATCGGTAAGAAACACGTTTATAATTAAAATCCGGGAAGCTCAGATAAAATATGAAATCTATTTCACATAATCTGCACTCAAGCAGCCTAAGAGAATATTCCGGCACATAAATTACAGAACAGGGGTGCATCATTGTATTCCCACCCTAATTAAGGAAGGAAGTGAATCTAATGTTATAGAGGAGGATCGGCGAAAAGCAAAGACTACTGATAACTATTTTGTGACAGTTTTCACTCAGGAACCTCTTCTAGACAAAGAACCAGACCCAAATACAGAGTTAACAAACCACCTGCTCACCGTGGACTTTCATCAAGAGGATATATTTATGGCTCTTAGCACCTTAGACATGGAAAAGTAAGTAGGTTTAGATGAACTACACCCTAAAATCTTGAGACGTACTACACAATATATAGCAGCCTTACTGTTATTCAATATGTCACTTGACCAAGGTGTATTACCTATGGACTGGAAGGACGCAATCATCAATCCTGTACATAAAATAGGACCTAGACAACTTCCATCGAACTACAGACCTGTAAGCCTCACCAGTGTTGTAGTTAAAATCTTGGAAATAATAGCCAAACAGACGATAATGACATTTGTGGAAATCAATAACCTGTTAAACAGCAAACAAAATGGTTTCAAAAGGGTTTATATTGTACAACGAACCTCCTTATAGCAAGGGGATATTGGGTAAAGGCGTAAGATAACAGAAAATGAGTGGATGTTTATAATATTCGAATTATCGTATGAACCAGGAATTCCAGGATTAACGCAATTGAATTAAGAAGACACAGGCACAAACGAATGTATTGTATTTAGAATTCGAAATCGAGAATTCAACAGGTACAAAGATATCGTTAGTCCATTTAAACACCACATCCGCCACAGCTTAAATAGAAGTATAAGTGTTTGTAATCGGTTGTACGTCTTCTTGTTAAGTTCATCCTGAGTCTGTCCGATATTGTATAAGATAAAAACTTTGTAGTATCTAGAAAGTGCTCATTAGTATTGGAATTAACAAACGAAATCGGAACAGACTCACCTGGAATTGTATACAATCAGCATATCGGTTTTGTACTGAAATCATTAATATCTAGAATTTGAACCATAGATTTTCAACACTATCCTCCCCCACGAAATAATGTTGGATCTTTATATCCCCAAGTTATGAATTATGTAGCTTTATTTAAAACATATTTCTCACATTGTTTAGAGTAAACATTAGAACTGTTTTTGTGATAAGGGTAAACAGAAGTTGATATGAAATCGTCCGGAATGTAATAAAACTCGAGGTCACTTAGTACTCGTGCTTCGCATTGGGCAGGTTTTTCACGAAGATCAAATACATTATGAGGATAGGTAATATATGATATGACATCAGGATTTGATTCTTCTGAAATATTCTCATGAAATTCATTAGGACTGTCATTGCAGAGCGTAGGATCGTTAGAAAAATCAGCATCTATCCACACCACATCAGGTTTTTGATCATGATTAGGTACATTTAACATATTTTCCTCAGAATTGCAAGTAATTTCATTAGAAATATGTGAATCATTAGGAAAAGTCATACCTGGTACAATAGCATGAGAATTCTGATAAATCGGTTGATTAGGAAATGTTGTCTCACAAGAATTCTGGATTTCATTTAACTCTGAACTGCCATATGACTCTGCACTGTCTTTTGAAATCGTTGATAAACATAAATGATCATCATGAATACTCGACTCAGTAGAATCAGAATTACAAGACTTAATATTAGTTGCAGTAAGATGAACATTAGCACTACAAACTGACTGAACTTGTCCAATATCACGACATTTGAAACACTTAGAATTACGAAATTGACATGAATTAGAAGAGTGGAACTTGCAACAGGACAAACACTGACCAAACTTGTCCCCATCCTCGTGAACTGCATCCAAACTCAACGAATTGTCTGCATAATCTTGAGTATGAACTGGGTTGGGGTGACGTAATGTAGTGGACTTTTTTATATCCTCATGAATCATTTTACGAAATCTTCCTCATTTACGACATTCGAAATTTGTATACTGAGCATAGTGTAGCAGTAGATCCTTGAGAGCTGTATAAGAAAGCGAAATGGGCTTTTCCGGCATAGCCAGAGTTCTTAATAAGCTGTATGTTTCTTTTCCAATGAATGTGAGGAAGTGTGCCACAATATTAACATCCTCATCATCTTCCTTGGTCATAGCCCAGATTTCGAACCTTTCAAAGTAATCTTCAAAAGCTTCCGAAGTTGAATGAACATCTAACTTTTCTATTGCAGGCTCCATCGCGACGCCAATATAATATTCGAATTATCGTATGAACTAGGAATTCCAGGATTAACGCAATTGAATTAAGAAGACACAGGCACAAACGAATGTATTGTATTTAGAATTCGAAATCGAGGATTCAACAAGTACAAAGATATCATTTGTCCATTCAAACACCACAATGTTGTTTACAAAGACTTCAGTAAGTCATTTGACAAGGTGCCAACTAATAAACTGCCATTGAAGTTAGAAAATGTTGGTATTGCCGGACCTATTTAAAACATATTAAAGATTCCCCAGTAGGTCGTAGGCAGAAAGTAAGAATAAATTCGAAGTGTTCCACCTGGAGACCAGTAATTAATGGTGTAACTCAAGGTTCTGTCCTATGTCCTTAACTTTTTATACTGTATTTAAATGATCTCCCAAGTATAGTACAGTCTCCAATGTTATTATATGCTGGCGAAGTATACATCTGGCGAGTAATAACCGGAGACTTAGATGCATGCGCACATCAGACAAAATTAAATAATGTGATTAATTTGTCTGAAGAGTGACTGATGACTATCAACGCGGCAAAGTGTGTCTTCATGCACTTTGGGGGCTCAAACATGATAGGTACAACATAAGGGAAGTGTCATTACCGGTGGTTCGGTCTCATAAGGACCTAGGAGTGACAATGAGTCATAATCTTAAGACGACGGCCCATTGCCGGAAGGTTGTAGCTAGGGGGTTTCGAACCCCCCTGTGCCTTAAAACGGACACTCACTAAGTTAGATACTACCATGTTCACCACAGTATACACATCCTTAGTGAGAACTAAGCGTGAGAACTGCGTTCAGGCTGCAAGCCCCTGTTTAAAAGGTGACTCGGATATTCTAGAAAAAGTACGGAGGGTGGCTACCCGTGCAATTCCGGAACTCCGGGTCTTACCATGCAAAGAACGGCTTGAAAAGCTGGACCTCTTTACTCTTCCATATCTCAGATTAGGAGGAGATCTAATAATGATGTACAGAATACTGAGAAATGATTTTGGACCTAACTTATTCTCTCTTTTTCTTCATACTAGATCGGGACATCTCAGAGGACATAGCAGGCGAGTAGAAAAGCCAAGAACGAACAAAATACCCGTGGCATACAGGTTTTCACACCGAGTCATCAATACTTGGAACCTGCTGCTCGGAGTAGTGGTGTCCGCACCTTCAATCGACTCTTTCAAGAGAAGGCTGAACGCTTACGGAAGCCCACTAGAAAATGAATAACATAAGCTGTATGTCTTCTGTCCTTACTACACAAATCTGGATCTGAAATCATAGTAATAAGGATTAAATGTATAAATGGGCTGAAAAAAACCGAGAATGCAAAAGTCTTTTACCGGTATGCAAAAAAACACAAAAGCAAAAATATGATGTTACAACAAGGAACAGATTCACAGTTTATTGTTTGGTGTACCATATCATGTCGGGCTAACCATTAAATATGCCACAACCTTAAATCAAAGTACAGATATATATCTATATCCCGCCATGAATCTTAGTGTAACTAATGTAGAAAGATCATGGCTGGATTCGCAGTATGAAAATAACATGTATATAAGCTACTCTTTATATGAGCGTTATAAATTGGACATCAAGCAGACTGATCATTTAAGGGTCAGTAAACATTAGCGGTCACTTAGGTTTGGCGTGCTTGCTTGTCGGCCATGGTGCAATCAGGAGCGAAAGCTAGAAGGACTGCCAGAAAAGGTGTTGCTACTCGTGAATATACAATTCATTTGCATAAACACATTCATGGTGTTGGTTTCAAAAGGCGAGCTCCTAGAGCTATTAAAGAAATAAAGATGTTTGCTAAAAAGATGATGGGCACTGAAGATGTTCGAATTGGTGTGCGGCTCAATCAGTAAGCTCATATAGTTGTTCTTTTATGTATATATAGATTTATATGGTCCAAGGGTGTCCGAAATGTTCCATATCGTGTCCGCGTGAGGCTTGCGCGCAAAGCTAACAAGGATGCAGATAGTATACATAAGTTCTACACTTTGGTTACATTCGTGCCTTGTACTGATTTTAAAGGAAAGCAGATAATTAATGTTGAATCAGCAGAATGAGTCTGTTATAAATAAACTTATGGACTGGACTATTAGCTAGTTGAATTTATTTCTTATACGTGGGAGGCTATAAAGAATAAACCTTGTCATTCCAATATGTTGAAGCCGTATATCGTGTACTGAAGCTTTATCATAGGAGACTTGTGCAAAGACGAGGTTTTATGAATACAGAATAACTTTGCAGCCTCTGAAAAAAGTACTTAGTCTGAGTTTCGTAAAATATCACTCCTTTTCCTTGATTGAATCGTTTGGTTTCATCAAATACAGGATGGTCTGCTTAGTAATTAATTTAGATAGGTCTTTGTCAAGTTTAAGCACCACTTTTAATTGTGCATTGTGTTTCATATTAAGGACGGTCTTCATAAAACTAAATTCGGCATCTTAAGTCTTACCATGTAGAATATCTACTCAACGTTTCTGTCGTGGTTTGCTTTCTGGATTAAACTTATAAAGTCGAGTCTACTTCGAAGGGTCGGTTTTAAGTGTATTGAAGTGACAATATAGACCTTCGGACCGCGACTTACTGCAGTTTCGTGTGAGTTGCTTTGTCCGTGTCTCAGGAATGGTTTGTTTCCAGATTTGTTCTGTGTTTCTGCTGTTTGGCAATAAAAGATACTAATATATGATTTTGTAATAACCTTACTCATGTTGGTAACTACAGTTACAAACTTTCCTTGTAGCTACTTGAAGCATGTCGACTTAGTCCGCATGTCTCAATAAAAGCAAACATTTTGAATACTTAGTTCCTTTCAACAAGGAGCTAACTTGTTGACCATAGGTAGTTTGAACTTACTCAACTATGCAGGTGTTCTCAAACCGCTAGATTTTCCGTATCTTGTCCCGCAGTACCAGATAATTTCTTTTTCTTGAGAACTGTTTTCTTAACGATTTGGCATATGGAAGTTTCTCGATATGATTGTAAATGCCAATCTTGCCTCTACTAATCCCTACCATGCATGGGGCAGTACTGCCTCACCGGACAAAGGGCGAGTGTACAGCCACATAGTCTTCTCTGCTTCATTTGAGACATACAAACCTAGGAAACACTCAAGCTACAATTGTTTAACCATACGATGAAACCAGCGGGTCGCTAATGGTAAAAGAAATGGATCCTCATCTTCTGGTTCGGTTAGGATGCGTTTTGGTATTGTTGGATACCTACTTAGATGTACAACGTCAAGTGTCACGAGAGGTCAGGAGTCTAGGGTTCATAAATAAAAAGTCGGTCTGTTTAGTCGTCTATTTGGTTAGACATATACCTTGTAAGACTGAGTACGCTCCCCACTCGGGATTAGTAAACTAATTGCAACCTATGGCTAGATTCGTTGAATATCAGTGCTCATAACCAATTATTGGCGCAGTTGCATTCGCTTTTTAAATCTTGGATTGATTTCCCTAGCTTTACATCCTTTGGTGGCGTTTATACCTTCCGAACTGTACGTATGTTTAGATTCCCCTTGTTCTCGGTGTAATTTTCCACAACGATCATCTCCATTCTGCCTACTCGGGACGTGGCAACTTGAACCGTTGCTAACTGGTGCTTGGTCTTACGTTTGTAGTTGCTGATTAGGTGGTTAGTATAGTTTATCATCTAATGATGTCACTGAATTAGTCAAAGCAGATTGGAACTATTGTTGCGTATGGTCATTGCAGACTAACGGTGGTTAAATTTGTAATCAGACAGAGGTTACATGAAGCCTGATTTGTGTGTGACCAGTGATCGAGGTGATGTAATAAAATATTTCCGCAGATTAATAAGAATTAGGTTCTAAGTGATTTATACAACTTGGACTGCGAACCAACATGACTTCATCTGAAAATGGAGCTCAATGTATATGTCTTAACACACCATTCTGTTTAAAGCCATGTAACTAAGTAGTTCTGCAACTGGATTAATGCTCACTTAAATCGGTTATTTCAGACTTAGTTTCATTAATTGCTTTTACTGCCTTCGCCTCGTACTGGAATCATTTGTGATGATGACAGCGTAATTTTAATTAATTTCATCAGTAATGCATATGGATTCTTCACATCCTCCTAACAACGGGTTTTCCGTCCTATTTGTTGGCAGAGTGTTTTTGTACGCAACCCGTCAACGGAAAGGTGTATACGTTTATTAGTTGTACGCCGTGAATGTTAGTTGTAATGACGATAATTCGTGTACATGGTAGATTAATGTTTCCACTGACTGCAAATCTGGTAATGTAATGGCGTGTAGTCAGAAGGCGAACATTTAAGATACCTAATAGCGGTAATGGAACTGAGGATTCTTTGCACTTGAGTGTCCGATTTTTGACCACATGATTTCCTCAGTCAATGCAAATGGTTGGTCAACGGTTCCAATACTCAACATGAAGAACTGGATTTTAAGGTTTTGTGGGGCCAGCAGGTTTTTGATTTCGCGTAATAGCATGTTCATTATTGATGTTACTACTGAGTTCTTACTCGACTATTGTATGACGTCTATTATTGTAGTTACTTTTATGGGATCAGTTCCCAAATCCATCCTTACTCGGATATTTTAATTAAATTACTATAATTAAGGAAGATTTGTCTATATCAACCGTCACATCCGAATGTTTGGGTTTCTAACATTACGTAGTTGTTATAACAATAAAATGACGCACGTTTCTAATATGTAGAGCAAATTAGTCCTTATAGTATTTCCGGTATTCAGCATTTCATGTACATTAACTTTATTCATACCTTGTTTGATTTCGCGTACTTGCGCATCTACTGTCGTAAAATGTGACAGTAAATTGTTTACAAGCTGGTTGCAACTTCTGTTGCTAGTAAGTATCGAACCGAGCTAGCTTCTAGGCTAGCTAGCATTCCACCGAAAGTATAGATGAGCATTGGTTGCAATTGCATGACGCCATGAAAATGGCGGGTAAGGTCACTTGTGGGTTCGTGAAACGTCCGCTTACAAGCACTGTGTTTCTTCAGGCTCCTTACAACTCATTGAAACCCATCCGTCTGCTCCGGGTGACCGTGAGTTTGACCACAAACAAAAGATGTTACGTGAGGAAATCGGGCAAAGCTTGCTTAGGGAACGAGAAGCCTGGTGGTCGGAGCGTGATAATGAGCTGGAAGCAGCAGCTGCATCTGATAACTACCGGAAGCTCTTCCAACTCATCCGAGCCACTGGCAGCAAGAAGTCTGGTGTGAGCTAAAACAATCTGCGAGGATGAGGGGATGCCAATCACTAACATGCACCGACGTCTTGGACGATGGGCAGAATTCTTCGAAGGGCAGTTCAACTGGCCTGTTGCTCCGGCAACATCGGTCGGACTGTCCTGTCCTCCATAGCCGTTGACGACTGATCCACCAAATGTGGCGGAAGTCCACAAGGAACTCCAACTCTTCAAACGCTACAAATCACCTGGCTCAGATGACTTATCTCCAGCTCTTTCTAAAGATGGTGACTTTCTGACTAAGGAACTGACGACGTTGTTTACAAAGGTCTGAGAACTAGAGAGTGTACCAACATCATGGAATGAGTCGATAGTTGTCCCTATATTTAAAAAGGATTCATGTCGTCCCTGTAACAACGATTGGGGGATAAGTCTACTTCCGATTGCGTCCAAGCTATTGGCTTCCGTCATACTTCGTAGGTTGTTCAAAACCCGAGAAAGATTGACTCGCGAGTAGTAGGCTGGTTTTCGTTCTGGTCGAGGATGTATTGATCATATCTTCACCCTCCGCCAAATGTTCGAACACCGTCATACTTATCAAAGGCCAACAATCGTAGTGTTTCTTGACATCAGGGCTGCCTTCGATTCGTTGGACAGGACTGTTCTCTGGGATTGTCTATTGAAGAAGGGTGTGTCTGAGAAATTTATTAACATCCTAAAAGCCCTATATACAAACACCTCAGGCAGCGTGAGGGCATACAACCACCTTACTCCATTGTTCCATTCAAGCAGTGGGGTTAGACAGGGTTGCTCAATCTCACCATTCCTCTTCAACTTTGCCATCGATGACATTCTGAGAACAGCCCTGATGGGTGTAATTAATAGCGGTGTGAATCTATTGCCTGGAGAAAGGCTTCTCGACCTTGAGTATACGGACGATATTGTCTTACTGTGCGATAATGCCCAAGGCATGCAATCCGCACTTAATCAGTTGGCAATCAGTGTCCGTAGGTATGGCATGTGCATTGCAAATTCGAAGTGCAAAGTACTTCTACAAGACTGGCAGGATTCCAATCCTGTACTCACTCTACATGGTGAGCAGATAGAAGTAGTCGAGAAGTTCGTGTATCTGGGTAGCTGCATAAGTGCTGGTGGTGGCATGAGTGATGAGACCAATTCACGTATAGTGAGAGCCAGAGCGGCTTATGCCAATCTGGACCACCTTTGGCGCCTTCGTGATGTCGGTCTGGTTGTAAAAGCTCGGATCTACAACGCGTCGGTGAGGGCAGTGTTGCCCTATGCTTGTGAAACCTGGCCTCTCCGAGTTGAGGATGTTAGATGACTCTCAGTGTTCGATCATCGCTGTCTCCGAAGGATTGCTGACATCCAGTGGCAACACCATGTTAGTAATGCAGAGGTCCGGCATCGTGTGTTCGGGTGGAGAAACGACAATTCAATTGGTGTCACCATCTTGAAACACCGACTTCGGTGGCTTTGACTTGTTCTACGAATGTCGTCCCAGAGAATTCCACGTCGTGCATTATTTGCCGACTCTGGGACTGGTTGGAAGAAGCGGAGAGGTGTTCAGTGTATGACATGGTGTCGTGGTATGAAAGGAATCTGCAAAGGGCTGGCCTGTGTTGGTCCTTCACGACTGCCTGGCTGGGGTCCGAGAGATGGTGCAACACAGTTGCTAGAGACGTTATCAGATATGGTCAGTGGCGATCCTGCTGTAAACTCTTAC